GGCGGTTTGTTTGCTCAGTACACCCGATGATTTAAATCTCTCCATAGACGGCTCCATAATAATATGTGTTAAAACAACTAAGTTTCTAGGTGTGCTGATTGATGATAAACTGAACTGGAAATCTCACATCGAATCACTAAATAAGAAACTAAGAAGTGCTTGTGGACGTATTTACCGCATAAAAAACTGTCTACCTATAAAACTGCACAAGCAGATATACCACACACTATTTGAATCACACCTTACGTTCGCCATCTCAGTATGGGGTGGTGTCTCTAACCAAGTTATCAACCCTGTATTCTTAACACAGAAGAGATGTATTAGAATAATTTTTGGAGATGCAAACTCATACCAAAACAAATTCAAAACATGTGCTCGTTCTAGACCTATTCAATGTAAAATACTGGGTAAATATGAGTCTAATGTTAATAACTCTGTTAATCCACGTATTAAACCATGTGCAAAGTGTGTCCGCTCTAAATCGGTAGTTCATAATAAACTTGTTAGACCCTTATGTTGTCAAAAACTAGGAGCTGAATTCTATTCCAAGGAATCAACCAAACCATTATTTAACAGTCATAAACTCCTTACTGTTCATAATCTTTACAAACTTCGTACTATAACTGAACTTTTTAAAATAGTGAAATATAGGGTACCCATATCTCTCTACTCTTTACTTAACATGTCTGAACTGAGGGATGACCGTCTAATACCACCAAAGCCAAGCCATAACTTTATTTATAAATCTTATTGGCTTTGGAATCAATTCAAGGACTCCAATCCACAGAATAAACCTGACTTTGTGAACACATCCTGTAACTCAATCAAATCAAGGCTAAACCGATCTCTTCTAGATGCCCAAAGCAGGTTCGATAATGAGTGGCATAATGACAACTTTAACAGTTTTGGACCATGCTAGATTATTGATAAAAACGTGGAATTTATGTAAACAAATACTTAATTACTTAAATATTGCCGTTTCCGTACGGCGCTATACGTAATATATGTTAAAAGCGCGCCGCAGCTACTCCCTACCTCAACATTTGCGCGGGTTTCTTAAGCGCGCACGTACGTTTATTCTTGGCCGTTAATCAGACCCATGACATAACGCTACAGGTGGCAGTGACTGTAATTTTCTTCAACAATTACTGAATTATCCATCCATAAAGTGATTTACAAAATGACACCTAAACCTCGTGTTTCGGTGTTCACTTAAACGGTACTTGGCGGCTGAGCTGTGGTGTCTGACGTTTGCAGCTAGATCGGACTCTGCATGATATTGTATTAGCAAATTTGTATAGTGTATAATTGTTTAGTGTTTATGATACTCTGCAACCTGGTAGCACGGCTGACACAAAAACAAAATGTTGGCCTGGCTTGTGCATAACCAAGTAAATCACACGCACTCCGATAAAAGCCGTCTGGAGAAACTCCGCAAAATGTTCATTGTAGTCAACGGGCACAAAGAAGCACTACTAGCAATTGTGTCCTTTACCCTCCTACATAATTTGAACATTTTTGTGGCTAACTCATTGAACAACATCTGAATTAAAATGTGTCTAGTATTAAAAGATTCAGTAAGTAATTTTTTCATGTACGCTGTACACTGTAGTTAGTAAATCAAATCAAACTTTTTCGATCAGCCGCGCGCTGAACCAGTGTTGCACTAGGTAAAAATTGTGTATATTTTGTTCATTTTTGAGAGTAAATCAATTTATTAATTTATCACAAATTATTTTATTATAATATAACCACTTATGTGAAATGGTTATTTTGACTTTAAATATTTGAACTAAATATGAATTGATTGTGGGTATAAAATAAAATTTGTTTTACTAAAAAAAATTTGTTTTACTCATAAGTAGTCAATTCTTCTGCATTAGAATTAGCGCTCGAATCATCAGGCTATCTATCTATGCATAACAATAACAATGTATACAAGCTATATTAAAATGCAGGAGGTGACCGGGAGGCGGGACATGATTTCAGGCCTGACCGGGACCGGGACCGGGACCGGGACCGGGATACAAAATGTGACTTGACCGGGACCGGGACCGGGACTGAAATTCGCTGAGATTATCAATTTACCGGGACCGGGACCGGGATGAAAAATGTGCAATTTTAAACATTGTTGTATTTGGCTCAGAGGATGTTTAAACTTTTAAAGATGAAATTTTCACCTAACCATGTGCTTTCGCACCACTGCGGGCGCGCTTGCCGTGAGGCGGGCGCGCGCTACTGCACGCGCAAGGGCTCTGGATAGAGCAAGACGAAATTCACAATGAATGAAAGGAAAAACTTAAAATCACAGTGAATGAAATTATGTAAAAGATCCCGGTCAAAATCCCGGCAAATTTGAGTGATTGACCGGGACCGGGACCAAAAATCCCGAATTAACCGGGACCGGGACCGGGATCATAAATAAATAAATCAGCATTTGACCGGGACCGGGACCGGGATAGCTCAAAATTGCCAATCCCGGTCACCTCCTGTTAAAATGACTCTAGATGCATCAATTACTGAATAATTAATTGTTTCAAAATTTATGTACTGTGGTCGTCGATTTTTTAATTCAAAACATGTCGATTTTTTAATTCAAAACATGGAAACGGGTAGTATAGCGCATGGTCGCGCGCGCAACAATAAGGTCGCATTTGTGATTTCAATATTTTACATGACGTACGCGTAACGCGCGGACGCAAGCGCGACTAGCAGCGCCAAACGGAATAGAAAATAGCGAGGCTCTATTCAACGTGGTCCCATCGTGTGACAACGCGTATACACATTGCACATGGCTATGTGGAAAATAAAGTTACTCAATAAGATTTGTCGAGCGTGCTAAATCACTTTACAGTCGATCTTCGAGATTGTTCTAAAAGGCCGGCCTCTGACAGTTGAAACCAACTTCAATCGATGTATTTTCGGACGCTGATTCCGATTCACCCCCAATTCCGAATCACCACCCAATGACATAGGGTTAAAATTTAACGGGTGATACTCGTAAAATATCTGTTCCATATATTGGAACGTGTCCTAGTAGGTTGTAATCCTACAAGGTTAAAATGCTCCCTCGACAAGATATTGGCGAAAAACTGTCTCGATCACGTGATATGACCGTATTGCTCTAGCCAGAGCCCTCTCGCATGCAGTAGCGCGCGACCGCCGAAGTAGAATATACTTGTAGGTTTACAACCTACCAGGACGCGCGCCGAGTTGGACTCGTCGACGGTCCAATATATGGAACAGATATTTTACGAGTATCACCCGTTAAGAATATACTTGTATCACGTCGTAACGTTTCACTATGGTAGAGTTTCTACAATACAGGGGGAGCTGCGAACTCGTGCGCGGCGGGTCATGCAACGTATTGACATACGTTGCATGCCACTTTTCGCGCGCATCAAGGAACGTATGTGGTATGGCAAGAATATATATACAAGAATATACAAGAATATACAAGTATATTCTACTTGTGACGTGAAACAAGCGCAGTACGCGTATACACATGGCTATTGGCTATGTGAAATTACCTGGGGACCTCAGGCGACAGGCTATTATGTTTATAAACATAGAGATTCAGCGGAATGACAGGCTGAGCGCGGCCCAGTAAATTTGAAATGACCGTACAAGGAAGTTAGTTTAATTTCTCGTTAGGGTTAGAGTTTCAACAAATGCTTTTGTTAAGGATTAGATTAGGGTTATGGTTGGGATCAGATTAGAGGGTTGGGCTTTCGAATGGTCGTTCGGGACCACTACCAGCTAGAGAACGGATTGAAGTCACGTGACAGTCGAGTGTAGAGTGATTGATAATCATCAGATCATCTGCAAGATTTGTTTGAAGAAATTTGTGCTGGCCGAAATTTGAAATTAGCGCTTGGCGCTGGCCGAAATTAGCGCTAAAAAACCATCCTACAGTCGGCACACGCGCGGCGGCTCACTGTCAATGGCGCACTACCTATTGCCACCATCAAGACCAAGAGAACCATCCTGTTTGTTGACTGGTGTCCCACTGGATTCAAGGTTTGTATCAACTACCAGTACCAGCCACCAACAATTGTTCCCGGAAGTGATCTTGCCAAGGTACAGAGGGCTGTGTGTTCACCTAACCATGTGCTTTCGCGCCACTGCGGGCGCGCTTGTTTCACAAGTTTTTACCGCCGTGAGGCGGGCGCGCGCTACTGCAAGCGCAAGGGCTCTGGATAGAGCAAGGCTGTGTGCATGTTGTCCAACACCACCGCCACCGCTGAGGCTTGAGCTCGTCTTGACCACAAGTTCGATTTTATGTATGCCAAGAGAGCCTTCGTCCATTGGTACGTAGGAGAAGGTATGGAAGAGGGGGAGTTTTCTGAGGTTAGGGAGGATCTGGTTACCTGGGGACCACAGGCTATTATATTTGTGTTCATAATCATAGAGATTCGGCGGAATGACAGGCTGAGCGCGGCCCAGTATGCAGTAAGGATCTGGCTGCTCTGGAGAAAGACTACGAAGAGGCTGGAGTTGACTCTGTTGACGGTGAAGGTGAAGAAGAAGGCGGAGAGTACTAAAAACCCTGAAGAACTTTTGAACCACTGTTTCTGAAAAGACATCTGTACAAATTTCTGTAAAATTGTTATGAATTGATACTAATACTAATATGGTTGATTCAAATCAATTAATATCATTCTTAATCAATTATCATGATACCAGTCTTTTACTTTGCTTCTAATCAATTAATCATCATTCGATATTTTTTCCTCCAGTTGGAAACTTTAATCTTTTGTGTCGGTTAATTTGGTGACGGTTCAGATTGGTCCATGGCTCAGTGGTTGATGATTTGTTGTAGGTTTATAACCTACCAGGACGCGCGCCGAGTTGGACTCGTTGCGACGGTCCCTGATATTTGAAACAAATATTTTACGAGTATCACGCGTTAAATGATTTGGTGTAAGCTATAACTGTGATGGAGACACATCTCATAACAATGCATAACAATTTAACTTGGTCCAAATAAAAAAGCTTCATTCACGTTCCTAGTCCTGACACAAAAGTCATGGATCGGGGAAAAAAATGTATATTACAATAAATATAATAGGTATTCTGAAAAAACATACAATGAATATCAATAATTACTGAATCGCAGTCTCTTTCTTTTATTTTTTATTAAAACATTGAAAGTTGTCTAAAATATTAAAATTTTAAATATCAAAAGTTGAATTATAGATTATAAATTTATAGATTCGTCCGGGTTTTTGAGTTGTTATTTTTTCTATCACATCCCGATAAAACACCATGTTAAGATAGTGTTTTGTACCGTAGAACCATTCCAGTCCACTACACAACAAGTTTAGATTCTCATATCAACAGCAAACAGGAGAACGACGAGCAAAATTAAGCTGACTTTCAGGGCTGCTGCATCAGAGTAGTTCTGGTTGTCTCCCTGTTCACTTTCATCTTCTTCTTCGCTTGTATCTTCTTCTGAAGGGGAAATTTAATTTAGTAAAAGATACCTTCATTCTGGAAAGATATCGGCATGATCTATTTTATATGGCTTTGACTAATTATTGCAAGACCACGAACAGACACAAATCTCATATTCATATTTAGGAACTATAAACAAGTAATTACAAATACAACTATTCGATTATCCTAGTTCGCTTGACTCCCGTACGTTAAACTGTTCATTTGTCTTTCAATGTTAACAAATTTAATTAAATGGGTAAGATATAATCGAGTGCAACCGTCAAAATACTGGCACTGAAAAATTATTCATCATCCTGATGGACGATTCTTCTATTCATAGGTGGAGCCTGATATAATTAAGTTTTTAGGACGTACACAGTAGAAAATAGGTATCAGATTCAGAGTGTGCGACAAAGTTGACCAAATCTTGCCTTATAACCGTCGAATCCCTGCTCTTTAACCAATGATGTTTTATGATTGTTAAATTGATCTAATTAGTAACCTACTACATTTCAGAATAAGGAATACTATACAGTTAACTATAGGCAGCTATTACCTGGGGACCTCAGGCTATCATGTTCATAAACGAATAGAGATTAGGAATAGGCGGAATGACAGGCTGAGCGCGGCCCAGTAAAGGCAGCTATAGTTAACAGATTCACAAAAATGCAAACTTGTAGTTGTAACATTATAGTGCATAATAACAATAAAGTTTCTGTGTTGAGAACTACTGAACATGCTTGGTTAATATTTTTGTATATATAGAAATAATCTCAACTTCAAATGAACATGTCCATTAATAAAAATAGAAAGTCCTGGCTACCCGGCAGTTTTGCACGAAACTACCGACAATTCCCCCTCCACCCGTCGATGAACATCATAACTTATTTGGTATATCTACTCGACTGAAAAATTGTCTTTGGCGAGTATGATCCGTGTTTCCAGTGTCAGATGTAGCGATGTCATTATGTCATAGTATTATGTTGCAATCAGTAAATTATATAATTAATAATAACCAAGAAACACGTTCTAGCATTGTACAGGAACTGAATGATTGAACTTTCTAAACTAAATTCACTGGATCCTATGATAAGTTTAATTTTGTTTTAACAGTAGGATGTAACAAGTTATCTTAGATATAATAATAAAGTTAAAACAGCAGAGCATCATTTATGGGCAGTTATAAATACCCACCAAGTCTTAAGAAACCGCATCAGAACATCTAGATTAATCCATGATAACTGTCGTAGTAATTTAAGCAATGTGTTTTACTCATTATCATTTCTTTATTTATGGTTCTGAGATGAAATTTGACATTTGATTTTTACGATTCTATGTAGTATAACAGATCAAGTCTGTTACGATCCTATTTACGACTAGCCAGGTGTGGCTAGGGTGAAGGCGAAATAAATATCCTGGTCCACGAGACAATACTAGAACTATTTCACAGCCTACAAGCTACGGGACAGGTCACGTGGTGTGCTTTCGTCATGACAAAAGGAGAGAAGGAACTCATAAAGCGGAAAATAGAGTGTACTGTGTAGAGACGATAAATTATATATAGGCCTTATCAGGAACATGGATGCTGAAAGTCCTTCTGGTAACAACTGTCGAGAAATGACCAGAGCAATCACAGGAATTACTATCTCATGTTCGAGAAAACGAATATCAACCAGATGAAGGAGACAATTCACCGAGCTGAGGCAGAAAGGAACACGTGATATCGATTGTCGAGGGAGGAGCTCATTGGAAAGAAAACAGGAGTGATAATTATGGGCCTAACCGAAAGACATGGATGATTTAAGACCTTCAGTCACCAGGGTTAACGCTAAAAATACGCCTCATCAACAAACTATAATGAAGCACAATGCACATGCTTTTATACTGTGTAAACTCTGCAAAATAAATCTTGAACCAAAACAGTTTTGAGTTTGTTTGGTAAAATACGTAATTACTGCTTATTTTCAAGATATTTTATAAAAACATCAGTTTTCAATTGATAATTGTTTCAACCTTTAGTAACTGAAAATGGCTTGTCTCCATCATGTCTACTACAAAATTGAAAATATACAAGATTTATAAATTATAGTTTGCTATTTTGTAATCCGCTATCGCCAATATGATTATAACTCTGCCTTCATTGAAAGAGTGTGATTCTATCTCATTCGGAGAACAGTAATTGATAAAATTATGACCACTTTAGTAAGTTATAAATAACAATATGCTAACTATCCTATATCCCATATCCTATATATGTGTTATATTAGGTAGGTTATGGAACTGCTGGAGCAACGAGTGCCGAAGGCACGAGTTCCGACAGCTGTTCCACAACTTACTTATGGTACAGCACATCAAGATAGATAAGGCTACAATTTGCGACAAAAAAAAAAAATTTGGACTTAATTAACAATTTAAAAAACACTTTTTTATATTTTCTTCCGTAACGCTGACCAATCAGAGACGATCCACATGGCCTATAGCATGATCAGTCTTGCGTGTCACGTGAAAGATTTCCTCTATTTCATTGGATGCTTACTTGTGGGCACGTGTAAAACCGGTTTTTAGTTACTCAATAAGTTGTTTGTATACTCCAAACAACTTATTGAGTAACGCATTTTTTGGCAGATCTTTAAATTGAGTTTAGAGGTGAGATTGAGAGGATGAGCGTGCAAGGACCCGGTCCGATTTTATGGTTAATGTCAGTCTGCGACCCAAGACATTTATACTGGACCTCCAGGAATCATTATTTCAATAAAGCACCGCTATAATCTAATTTGATAATTGGAAAAGCAAGAAATAGACAAACCAACTCGGTCTTAACCTCAATGATTAGTTTGTGCAACTAACTATTGAGAGGAGATTGAGAGGATGAGCGTGCAAGGACCCGGTCCTATTTGATCTTTTTGTGCCAGGAATTTTCATTTATTTTGATGTCTCATCACTTATGTCTCGTGACTGCGCTCCTGTGTATGGTCCTCTTAATTATGTCAGTTTCCGTTACACCTGCATCAAACAGTGTGTTGATGGTTCTTGTTCTTAAGAAATGATTAGTCGCCTTAATTATTAGGAGTGAAAAAAGCGCTTTATTTAAATCCGCTTTACCAGGTAGTTTTGATAAATAAAACTTGAATATATTAGTTTATGAAAGTAGTTCCTTTCCGATCTACTCTAATTTAAAACGTTTAAAATGATACTTCATACTTGACCCGTGCTGTTCTCTAGAACTATAAGGATGTGAATCTAATCTCACATAAATATTCAGAAAAACCGGTTTTACTCTGAGACGCTTGTGAATGGCCATTACAGCAGAGTGCTGTGTCACGGGGGCATGTCTCGTGACTACGTCACTCGACTACCACGTGCTTGTGCCGTACCATAATGTTAAATAACACACTTGAAATTTAGACAGAAAACACGTAATCACGAGCTTACGAGAAAATCAGCAAGGTGGTTTATTTATAAATTAAAGTTATTCCCAAACGAGGCTTAACTGCTTAATCCCATATCTACAAAATATAACTGCATCACTTTACCTTTGGATACTACTCATAAACTTTCTCCTTATCTTTATTTGTAACCCTAGCATGAAAAATCCAGGACCCCCGGGAAACTGCTCAGTTTTTTATTGTAACGTTCAGGGCTTGATCCCTTTTGGTGAACTTGGAGATGCAAATCCCACTCTCCACTCTACAAAAATTCACGAACTAAACCATTTTATTTATATCAATAAACCAGATATTGTAGTTTATAATGAAACATGGTTAAAGGACAATATCCATGATAGTGAAATCATCTCGACAGCTGATTACAAAGTATTTAGACTTGACCGTTCTAGCTTTACTCATCCCCCGGACCCCCAGAATAGTCGGAAATTCAGAGTAAATGGGGGTGGTGTCCTTATTGCCATAAAACATTGTCTTGACATAGAATCTAAAATCATTCCTGTCAAATGTAGAGCCGAGATTTTGAGTATTGAGCTTTCTGACAAGTTAGGAAGAAAATCCATATTTAGCTCGTTCTACAGAGTTGGCACACTTGGCAATGATAACCATGATAGAGTCAAGCAATACCTAAATAACATCCGTAGGCGTAGAAGAGTACAGAGCATTACCTTGGTTGGTGATTTGAATATGCCCCAGGTCAGATGGGATGAGGGCTCCTCCTCTGTTCCTATTGAACAAGCATTCATTGATACGTTTAATGATTTATCTTTACAGCGGCTGGTAACAGACCCTACACATTACAGGGGAAATGTTCTAGATGTAGTTTTGACGGATAAGCCAGAAATTATATCAGAATTAATTGTTGACAGTAAACATGGTATTTGTGAGTCGGATCACTATGCGATAAGATTTGACATACGACTTAACGCTAGAAAGAAAAAGTCTACCAAACGAAAAATCTATAGCTTCAAAAGGGCCAATTGGACCAATTTAAATAATGCACTGAATTCTGAAAACTGGGAACATCTACTTAGTGGTAAACCAGTCGAAGAGGCCTGGTCAGTTTTCAATACTATTTTCACTTCTCATTGTAATTCACATATTCCTAAGATATCTGTCTCCGATGAATTTCAACCCCCATGGTTTGACTCAGATGTCTTTGATTTATGTAGAAAAAAGGAGCGACTACATGACGAATGGAAACAGTCTTCTAATCCAAAAAAATATTTAAAATTTTCCAAAGCTAGGAGGGATTTTAAAAATCTCGTTGATGCAAAATTGGACGCAAACTTTGAAGATGATGATAACAGAAATCTCATTAACAAAAAGTTCTGGTCTTTTGTGAAATCTAAATCAAAGTCTAATCGCATTCCTGAAACAGTCAGCTACAATGGTTGCCTACGGTCCGATCCGCAAGGACAGTGTGAGTTATTCAATAAATATTTTAACGAACAGTTTACAGTGGGTAGTGATTATGATATAGATATCGACTTTTCCAGTGACCGTGATTTTCAGGTCAATTTCGACACTTGTAAAATCAAAGGTTTACTTGAAAATATTGATCCAAGTAAAGCGCAAGGGGCCGACAATATCCATGGAAGAATTTTAAAGTACTGTTCAGTGAGCCTGTCTATAAGCCTCTTGCTATCCTTTTTGAAGCCTCTTATAAAACTGGATGTATTCCAGCAGATTGGAAAATGGCAAACGTTGTTCCAGTTCATAAAAAAGGCTCTAAAATTGAAGTTAACAACTATAGGCCAATTTCTCTGTCAAGCATTATTATGAAAGTTTACGAAAAAGTAATCCGGGATGAATTGCTCAATCGATGTGAACATCTTATTGATCAACGTCAACATGGTTTTATGAGTAGGAAATCATGTACAACTCAGCTAGTAAATTTCTGTGACAGCTTAGCCCTATCTCTCAATGACAATGTTCGCACTGACATAATATACTTTGATTTCCAAAAAGCTTTTGATTCTGTCAACCACGACATAATTCTGTTGAAGCTCAAAGAACAATATAACATTGATGCATCTCTACTGAGATTCTTCAAGTGCTACCTTGAAAACAGATACCAAAGGGTTGTCATTGGAAATAAAATGTCTGCTCCCTGTCAGGTTAGATCAGGTGTCCCCCAGGGCTCAATTTTAGGGCCTACTTTATTTATACTTTTTCTTAATGACATTACAGAGGATTTGTCACCGGAAACAAATATAACCATGTATGCTGATGATACAAAAATATGGCGTAGAATCACGTCCCAGGATGACCATTGGCTGCTCCAGCGGGATATTAACAGTCTTCAAAATTGGGCTCATCATAATAAGATGGTGTTTCACCCTTCAAAAAGTCACGTTCTTTCTATTACCCGAGCATATTCTATGAATCGTAGTGTTACTTTTGTGTACTCAATGAATGAAACGGCTATCGAATACACAGACATTGAAAAAGATCTTGGAGTACATATCAATAGTAAGTTAGATTGGTCACATCACTGTGATATGATATACTCTAAGGCTAGTCAGAGGTTAGGCCTTCTAAAAAGAACATGTTACTTCACCAAGAACACTAAAAAAAGTCGGGCCTTCTATCTATCTCAGGTTAGAAGTCATTTCGAACACTGCACAATTGTCTGGCGGCCTCATTCAGAAACCTCGGTGGAGAAACTTGAATCGATACAAAAAAGAGGTATCAAGTGGATCCTTAATGATATTTACTTGAGCCTTAGGGACAAAATAAGGTATTTCATAGCGTGTAAGGAACTAAATATCCTTCCACTCTCGGTAAGGTTTGATTACAAGGATATATTATATTTTCATAATATTTTTATGACATGTCAGTTGTGACATTTCCACCTTACTTACGACGTTTCATGGGAAGTAGGTTAAGGCGATCACATCTAGACGATCTCAGTATGATTAGTGACATTTCTCCTCAAGTTCCACAAAACCTTACGTCAAGCCAGACCAGATGTTCAGGCATATCTAAGTCTTACTTTTACAGAGCACACATTCTTTGGAATAAACTCCCTTATGAATTAAGGGAAATCTCAAGGCCATCCGTGTTTAAAACCCATTTAATTAAGTACCTCTGGACAGTTCTAAACGACCATATAACATCCTCTGACAGTTAAACAATTTACCTTAATGTAACTATATTGTCTAAATATAAATTGATAAAAAGTATAATTAATAAAATATGTTAAATAAAGTGTGTTTATAATTATGATTTATGGTACATTGTTATTTATTATATTTATATTTTAGGCTGTAACCTTATTAGTTCAATGGAATAAACCTAGCATGCCTTGGTTGCAGCATCGCTTCACTTATAGGTGCATTTAGGGCCCGATGTAATTGCTATGATCAGTTTACTGGTCAACTGGTGTTTCGGTGTCCCTTATTTTGTTTACACTCGGTCACTTGTCAAGGCATGTAAGGTCATTCGGCGATATTTTCTTTGAAATAAAATGATGTATTTGTGTAACAATTTGAAAGTTTATTGATTAAAAAAATTGTTACTTTGTTAAACCAATGCTTGTTTTTATTAGTCACCTGGTAATTGTAATTGTGTTCCGTAGTAATCAGATGCTGTGTCGCCGGACCAGAACTTTATCTTTCCCACGTCTCTGGTCCAGGTCCAGGCCCAAGCGCTATCACCGCACGTTGATTCAGAGAGCACTGTGTTGACCACCTCCTCGTCGTTACAGTGTATCACTAGTCTGACACCTGCAGTCCTGGTTAGAGTGAAACGCCACACCTTGTCAGCAGTAGAGAGGAGTTTAACAGGGAAGTTAGCCAATGATGAGGAGCAGTATCTGAGCCAGTATTGTGGAGTAGAGGTGAATTCGAGCCGGACTGCTCCTGCATAAATTCCAGAAGCAGAGTAGAAGTGCACATACACCTGATCGTCACTCCCCAGCACACTATCAGTCCTAATTTCTAAAGGTGTCGACTCAAGATCCCACTCTATTTCCACGTCACGTTTGACTGGTAACTCACCTGTTAATTGTATGTTTAACTTGACTATAAAGGAATTGTAAGAATGTCGCCCATAGTTTATTCTCAGAATTTAAGGGCCCGACCATACTATGACTGTTGTCACCATGACTGTTGTCATGGTGCGGTCAGATGTAATGACCATAGGTGCGTAGTGTGTTTATAGGGCGTGCCAAGGATACGTGACAACTCCTCAGGCACGTCGCGCGTGGCTTTTCAAAAGCCGTGCCTAGCCAAAAATCCGTGCCTGACGTGACTGCAGGCACACTGCACAGTCTATTCAGTACTCGTGCCAACTGTCATGGATAACGTGACGTCACGATTACCTAATAAGGTCTATATTTTGCGTGATATGGATATTGGCAGCGCAGAGTGCAAAGATAGTACTATAGTACAGCTACAGATCGTCTGAAAAATCGATCTACGAACACAAAAAGCTTCCAAAGGATTTATGACGTTATTAGGCTGACTAACTGTTCCAAAATTTTCCACATGTCTTAAAGCCACTTTTGCTACTTTTGCCACTTCTTACCACCTTTCTTGTTTGTCAAATATCTTCAGCTATGAACATCGTAGAAGGTTACAAATTAATCGAGGGTGTTTATCTTATCGACGAGAAGAACTTTTGTCCGAAAAATGTTCACGTCAGACAATCAGATAATTGTATAATTACTAATTAGCTAATTATCTAATTACCAAAAATTATAAAAATGTTTACGTATTGGCTCGAGAATTTTTTGAAAATTTTTCACTTAGACATTTTTTGAGACTTGACAAAATTTTGAAAATTTTAAAATGTAATTTTTTATAAGTTTTTTCGAAGCTCAGACCATGGTTTGGTTGCCGAACCGCATCATACCGAATTGGTCCCCATTGGGAATCAAACCCCAGTCGTCCGCGTGAGAAGCAAATGTATTAAAACCACTAAACCACCCGGCCGACGTGACAGCACTCACTTTTTACTATTCTATCCCAATTGTCAAAGTATTTTTACTTGATAAACAGGAATTAAACATTAAACAGGAATTAAACAGGAATTAAACATGAAATGAACAAAGAGAACACTAACGAACTCGTCTTGGATATCTCAATCATTAGAGTTTAGCTAGAGCTCACTTTCCTTTCAGGAAAACTGTAATTTGAAAGGCCAATTATTAAATTAAATCACTTTGCACTATAATTGGACTTGATCCAATTATTTCGAATAAGTAATAACTAAAATATGCGATATTGAACGTTGATTCGAAAAAAAATTGAAATAATTTAATTAAATTTGATGTACACGCCGATAAAGTTATGACAGTAAGTCGTTTTCATAAAAAGTGGGGAAATTTGGTTTTCATGAATACCAACTAGTAATTACTAATTTTGATACATCCCCAGTTGTGAGGTGAGGATGGTAGGAGGTTTCATTTTTATTATAATCGAAAAATTGGTTGCTACTAGGATAATAAGCAAATTAATCAATTAGCTTATTATTCAATCAGTGGTTGTACTTTTATAGCGATTGCTTAGTAATCGATTAGTAAGTCATATCAGAAAAAGTATTTAAATAATAAATCAATTGTTAACTGAAACGTTTGGGTGGTAACGTTTAGCCTCCCGTGTCCATAATTATAATATGACTAGTAAAGATTTTACCATATAAAATGTTACCTTTGACTGATGACCACAGTAGGATCGTCAAAATGATGATCGTTATCGTCATGACGTTTTACCACTCACTTACAACTTGATAAAAATGAAACAACTAATATGTTATCGTTATTTATCATTTATAATGTACTTATTATTTTATACACTAGTATAAGAATAATAAAAAGTTATGTTTAATCATTTATATCAGGGAAATCTTAACATATTTCTGGAAATTTTAGTATATTTTAAGTCGATTCTCCCGTTCAATTTCGGGTCTAAGATCGTCAAACTAGTGCAGAATCAAGCAAGTTAAGTAATTTTTTACATGTATTAAATTGAATGTGCTTTAGCAGACGTAAATAAAACAACGTAAATAAAACAACGTAAATAAAACAACGTAGATAAAACAACGTAAATAAAATAACATAAATAAAACAACGTAAATAAAACAACGTAAATAAAACAACGTAAATAAAGCAACGTATATAAAACAACGTAAATAAAACAATGTAAATAAAACAGCGTAAATAAAACAACGTAAATAAAACAACGTAAATAAAACAACGTAAATAAAACAACGTATATAAAACAACGTAAATAAAACAACGTAAATAAAACAACATAAATAAAACAACGTAAATAAAACAACGTAAATAAAACAACGTAAATAAAACAACGTAAATAAAACAACGTAAATAAAACAACGTCAATAAAACAACGTAAATAAAACAAGTTGTTTTATTTACGTTGTTTAACAACGTAAATAAAACAACGTAAATAAAACAACGTAAGTAAAACAACGTAAATAAAACAACGTAAATTGTAAATAAAACAACGTAAATAAAAAACGTAAATAAAACAACGTAAATTAAACAATGTAAATATAGGAGGCTGAGCTGCAGAAAATCCTGTTTATGTCGCGTAAGATCATATTTTCAAGCCAAATGATCTATAAGATGAAATTTTCGAAGACAATTTTATGGTTAATGTCAGTCTGCGACCCAAGACATTTATACTGGACCTCCAGGGATCATTATTTCAATAAAGCACCGCATCTAATTTGATTGGAGAAGCAAGAAATAGACAAACAAACTCGGTCTTATCCTCAATTATTAGTTTGTGCAAGGGGTCCGGTCCAAATAATAATAATAATTAACTTGCAATAGAGTGGAAAATGAACATATATGCAACAATAAAAATGCAAATTCGATAAATCTTGGAATTTTTAGCTAAAAATAAAGTTGCGACGAATTATTCATTATAATTGTAAGGCTGCAGGCTTGGCTACCCTGTACTTGTAGAATTAGAATAATCCATAACCTTCTAGAAGTAGAATATTCTGAAATATTTATTTTACTTTTAGTTCAGGAACGGTCATCAAAATGAGTTTGTAACAAGGTCGATTATATTTTGGTAAATTTGTAGCTTTCTCTCAGAAAATGAATCTGGCTTTCTATGGGAGGTAATTAGAATTACACTTACATTCACATTCTCAGATTTAGATAAAAAGCATGCGAGATCACCTGGTCCAATGAGCGGGAAACGGAGAACATGAAGCTCTGGTGACGTTACAGTCACGTGACCTCAGGCGCATAATCACGTGACCTTCGACCCGATCAATTGGGTTCTGTCCTGGTCAGCTCCCTGTTGCCTGATCTTAATTGAGGTGACGTACGACACCTCGTTAATTTTATAAATGTCTGGATAGCTGCAAATTTTAACATGCCCAGCACTTAAGATTCTTAAGGAGTTGTGCAAGATGACGATACATAGAGGCCGCAGAATTATGAGGACTACCAGACTCGTGGAACTTAAGCGATCCATGATATCACGACAGGCCATACTATAATACAAGTACTACGGGCAGCTGCTGATTTCAGATTTCAGATTTCAGATTTCAGATTTCAGATTTCAGATTTCAGATTTCAGATTTCAGATTTCAGATTTCAGATTTCAGATTTCAGATTTCAGATTTCAGATTTCAGATTTCAGATTTTAGATTTTAGATTTCAGATTTCAGATTTCAGATTTCAGATTTCAGATTTCAGATTTCATATGGCTGTATCAGGTATTTACTCTCATTGCAACTTCCTTTTCTTTCCTTCTTATTCAGGGATGTTAGATAGTCATGTTATTTATTATCTCGCAACATTATGGTTGTGTACTGACAGCTGATGTTGATACTTTCGTACGAGCAGCTAGACTCCGATGGTTTGGCCATGTGGTGAGGATGCCAGAAGAAAGAATACCCAACTATCTTCTGCACTGGATCCCAAAGCATAGTAAAAGGTCAAGAGGTAGACCTCGGAAAAACTGGTTGTCATGTGTCCGGGAGGATGCAGCAATCTTCACAGGTGTCGATAAGTATAACATCACGATAGAAGATGCAGAACAACAAGCTACAGACAGGGTTCACTGGAGAGGTCTAATACACCGGAGAAAGGAGTTACTATGTGGTGCAGGCCACTCCAACGACTAGGAGGAGACCTTTTCAAGTAAGTAAGTACTGACAGCTGATCAACTCACCTACTTATCAATCCAATTCTGTATATTATTCGTCACTGATTAGGTGACGTGATCTGCAGATCACCGTGAGACCCCGGATCTCATGGGACCTAGTGGTTGGTGTTAAGCACACGTGTAGCATTTAGAAGTTAATTGGAAGTAACAATTATATTCTTATAGCTGCCAGATCAAAGTTAAATTTAAAATATCTGTGCACGAGACCGACTGGCGTGCGAATAGAATTTTTATTGATAACAGTAAATTATTCGCAAATAAATTCAGCAGACCCAGAATTCTCGCGCACTAAATTAGATTTATCAGAAGCATGAAGTCTCCGGTAAAATTTGTTGCGTTTGTGTTAAGATTTTGGATTTGATTAAAATGAATAAGTTCTTTACAATTATCTATAATGTAATTTGATAACCGGTATTGTAAACCAGTATTTTAATGTAACTGCCAGTATTTTAATGTAACTGCTATTTTTTATTTGCAATGATGCAAGTGCGAAGAACACTGCCATCTCCACGGAACTACCGCTGTAAAGACTCACTACAAAAGGCGAGCGCACCATCTACTCGGGGCCTTTTTCCAGTCATCGGCCCGGGGTTGTGCTCCGCTTGTTCTCTCTCTCTCTCTCTCTCTCTCTCTCTCTCTCTCTCTCTCTCTCTCTCTCTCTCTCTCTCTCTCTCTCTCTCTCTCTCTCTCTCTCTCTCTCTCTCTCTCTCTCTCTCTCTCTCTCTCTCTCTCTCTCTCTCTTTCTCCCGCATGCTTACCAGTTCCATTAGGTTTGTAGTTCTTAGTAAAATTCTTGACCGTATTATTTTCATCCCTTCAACCGTACCAATATGATGATGTTAAGATTAGTTCATTATATTTAGCTCTATAGGTCAAAGTTCTGTCCTAACCAGTAGTCCCTATTAATCGCCTTCCATACAACCGCCGCCGCCTTACTTAGGGTAAACGGACTTTCGCTATGATAATTTATTCATGTTGTTGTTCACATTGAATACACTATGTTACCATATCCTTTTTTACTTGTTTTACTTGGTTATCTTCCAGATATAAATTCACCAACATTTTTTAAGTCGATAATTGCAATAGAATTTCCTTTCCTAAAATGTATCTTCTACTATAGGGCCTGTCATGATATCATGGATCGCTTAAGTTCCACGAGGATCTGGTAGTCCTCATAATTCTGCGGCCTCTATGGATATTGGATCGTCATCTCGCACAACTCTTTAAGAACCTTGTGAGTTTGGCATGTGAAAATTAGCAGCCTTCCAGACATGTATTGGGTTAGCAAGGTGTCGTACGTCACCTCAAAATCGGGTGACAGGGGGCTGACCAGGCCAGAACCCAATTGATTGGGTCTGAGGTCACGTGATTATGAGCCTGAGGTCACGTGACTATGACGCCACCAGAGCTTTCAAGCTCTCTTTGACTTTGTTCCATATCCAATACTTAATGCTTACTTTATGCTTACAAGCACTAACAGATGTTTTTCGCCAATCTACTTTAAGTTCATACCAGCGATCAAATTTTTAAACATTTAAAAAAAATGTGACAATGACTAGTGTATGTAGTACAAAGATGCTGATATCCTGGTACGCACAAAACATCTACTTTGGCAATATTTTCAGATAAATTTCTATTTGATCTTCACAGTTTGAAGCTTTTGCGTCTAGCGATGTATCAGGACTAGCGATGTAGTAATTATTCTACTAATAATATTCATCCTGTTTATTTCAATATAATTTGTCTCAAGAAATTATATTTAGACATTAAACGGAGAATTGTTTGATGCTAATACTAATGTCATAAGTCTAAATCAAATCAAATCTGAGTCAGAGCCTAGAGGTTCACTGGGACCGGGGGAAGAAAGCCTTGTGCAAAATGATCTAACACTGTGGGTGGATATCTTCATAGCTATTGTGAATAACGTAATTCTTGTATAATAGCTGTGCAACTGATTAGTGTCTGATGGAGGGTGAGGGGGTCTTAAACGGCTGAAAGTTGGGTTATATTGAAACGTCGATGACTGGATCAGCAAACTCATATTATTATTTCGATCGCCCAAAGACTAAAAAAAAGGTTTTAAATAAACACTTATCCCCCAACCATGGATCGTCATCTCGCACAACTCTTTAAGAACCTCGTGAGTTTGGCATGTGAAAATTAGCAGCCTTCCAGACATGTATTGGGTTAGCAAGGTGTCGTACGTCACCTCAAGATCGGGTGACAGGGGGCTGACCAGGCCAGAACCCAATTGATTGGGTCTGAGGTCACGTGATTATGAGCCTGAGGTCACGTGACTATGACGCCACCAGAGCTTTCAAGCTCTCTTTGACTTTGTTCCATATCCAATACTTAATGCTTACTTTATGCTTACAAGCACTAACAGATGTTTTTCGCCAATCTACTTTAAGTTCATACCAGCGATCAAATTTTTAAACATTTAAAAAAAATGTGACAATGACTAGTGTATGTAGTACAAAGATGCTGATATCCTGGTACGCACAAAACATCTACTTTGGCAATATTTTCAGATAAATTTCTATTTGATCTTCACAGTTTGAAGCTTTTGCGTCTAGCGATGTAGCAGGACTAGCGATGTAGTAATTATTCTACTAATAATATTCATCCTGTTTATTTCAATATAATTTGTCTCAAGAAATTATATTTAGACATTAAACGGAGAATTGTTTGATGCTAATACTAATGTCATAAGTCTAAATCAAATCAAATCTGAGTCAGAGCCTAG